AGCTGACGCCTCTTCGGGAGGAGGTGAGAGGTTGGGCTCTTTTCTGTGGGCGTGCGACTTTGTAGGTGTACTGATTATCCCTTTAATCTAATCGTTTAAGGCTATTTTCTATTGCGTATATTTACAATTGAACGAATTCAGCAAATAACGGAACAGACTTCCCTAGGTACGGCTGGAAATTCAATTGTCTTTTTTTGGCCTTGAGAGCCGTGCACAGCTTTTGGAATTTTCTTTTCCTTTTTCTTTCATTATTCACGTGGATGGGCAACATCCATTTTGGCGAATTTTCTGGTGAAAAGCCTATTCGACATAGCTTTGGGCTTTGGCAATTTTAGTGAAGGCACCACTTTCCAATTATCGGTGAAGTATTAAATTCTATGATAATCCATTTCATCGCTTCAAGCCAATCAACAAGTGTGCTTTAATGTAGGAGTTAGAAGGTCATCATTTTGGACACAAATCTCCGAATTGTACACTTCAAATGGTTGTAATGCGCTTTTAGTTGACTTTATCAGGAGAGCTGTTATGATGCCATTCATCTCCGATGGTAAGCACTTAAAATAGGAGTAACAACAAAGACGTTTTACTCTTAGGTAAGCAAGCCGTATTGCCTTTACCTTTGAGTTCCGCTGCAAAAGTTGAAATCCCTGAATTTATTTTAGTGATACATTGCACGTATCAGTGTAAATGCCTTCCCTCAAAGACTACTAGTGATTGAATGGGATAAAATTATTTTGAGTTCTTATACCGCAAAACATTTACATGGTTGCATTATTAATTCACAATGCTGTGGCTCTGCATTTATGGTGCCTGTCTCCCTTCTGTTGTAGATGAAGTTTGGGTAGCCGTGATTTTCGTCGACTCAATGAGATTGAACTGGATGGGATGCTTTGGTTTGGGGAGTAACTGCATGACAATTTGTTGGCGCACTCATGCAGCGCAGATGGGATTGATAACGTCCTTGTGGCCGAAAGAGACCTCATTTGGAATTTTGCTCAAAGGAGATGTAGGAAATCCACTGGAACAAAGGTAGATGAGCATTTTAGAGCATGAGTTAGAAAGTGGTATGTGCAAAGGCGTGCTGTGCAATGTGTTCAACAGCTCAGCCAATCAGGCGTACTTAGTGCCATTTGTGCACGGCATTGGTGCTGGGATAAAAGGCGTTAATATGACTCGACACGCTGCAGTCAAACATCATGCCTTCCACGAATGACGGTACTGACTTCGAGAAGTATTACGCCGACCCTCCATCAGGATGCAAAGGATCATGTATGAAATTACTCCGGGATAATCTCTTCATGATTCTTATTCTCATCGGTGTGGTGGTAGGATTTGGCCTCGGTTTCGGTCTTCGAGCTGCCACCGATTCCCCCATCGCAGAACAGTGGATAAGTTAGTTGTTGAAGCATTATCCCCTACGATATCTCGTAATTCTAATTTCATGTATTGGCTTCACATAGGTGGTACGAATTTTAATGGTTTCCTACTTTCATCCACTTGGGCAGTTGCTTTAATCAGCCCATTTAAGCTTGATGCATGGATTAGAGGCTTCGGCATTTATTTTGCTCTCCAAATTGTTTAAGTTATTTAAGATGAAGTTTAATGAATGCATGCAAGTTTATGCTGAATAAGTTACAAAGCTGCATATTTGTATCCTCATACCTGAAAATGGAGTGAGTTTTGCACAAATGTGGCTACTTACATTACAAATAATGTAGAAGGCAAATTAAAGTGGTTTTCGACTAACTGGAGGTTGTTGATTACTACCTACATAAAATTAATGTTTGCACTTTCAGATCTGCTTGGCACTCTATACATTCATGTGTTGGATCTAACGATTCTCCCATTGATTGTCTCCAACCTTATCATCGGTTAGTGCTGTTCTTCTGACGTTTGGCGCTGCATTGTACAACAGAAGCCTGCCTTGCATGCTTCATATTTTGCACCCCGCTTCTTCTTACACACTACATTGGGTCACCACCAAATAACTTTCTCCATTCATGCTAAAAATTGAATTCGCTCAGAAGCAATTTTAAATCAATGTTGGTGTCGTCTTATCGCAAAACCACATTTCCATAGTTATCGCCAACATCAACCCGAAAGAACAAGGCCTGACAAGTGTGATCACACTTGCCTTCATCATTGGAATGAACATCCTTGGATCCGCTATCGGAACAATCACCTCGATTATCATTAAGCCGGGTAATGCACAATGATTTTCACTTACACCTCTTCTGAAATCCACTCACTGTTCTTTTCCTGCTGTCTTATTATCGTCGTTGGTGTATAATTACCCTTAAACATTAAAATCAGTCTCTCCAATGCATTCGGCTCCAACTCCTTCCAAAATCAAGTGAGCAACTATTAAGGGTGGTTCATTTCATTAAAACTGTGTAAATAGCTCTGATAAGGGCATCGGCTTTACGTTCGTAGCGGCGTATCATCTTCCATCTCGCCGATTTTAGGTGCGGGTGTCAACAAAGTAGAGAATGTGGCCAAAGAAGATGATCCCAACTTACGAGCAACCACCTCCGACGTTTTTGCCGATCTTGTATTGAACATATTCCCCGAAAACATTGTCGCTATGTGCATTCAACAAGTAGGCGGACTCCATCAATTAAAGAGCACATCTCTTTTCAATCTTCTATGTACTTTCGAAAAAATTTTGCAAAAGATTCCCCAGAAATTATCTGCCTTACTAAATATTGCATTGATTCCAGACGAAAACGCATTACGAATACAAGCCAGGAACGAATCAAACAGAAAAAGTACGCATTGTCGGAACAACGGCATCGAAGGATCTCATTGGTGAGTCGATTACTTGGCCGAATTTATGGTGGCGGCAACATAGTTGCGCTTTCAACCGTAGATTAAGATATTGTAAAATGCACTTTAGACAAATTCTATCGCCATTTAAACTATTTGTATCATAGAGGGTCCTAACATCTATTACTTAATTAATCAGGCATTCTTATGGTTTCAATCGCTTTCGGTTTGGCCGCAAAAGCGGCTGGCGATAAAGGCAAAGCCTTCCTTGACTTCTTCCAATCCCTCTGTGAAGTGACTCTCAAGTTGGTCCGAGTATTCCTCCTGTGAGTTTGCACGACTACTCTTACCACTGCTCTCCTACCACTAATTCCTCGATGCATTCACGTTTTCTCTACTTTCTGAAGAAGCGGAGCTCTGTGTTGTCAATTGTAGGCAGCACATCAATTTTTTAACAATAAAAGCTCTGAGTGTGCAGTCAGAAATGGAAAGAAAACTTTAGATGTTTTTTTAATCTTACAAAAGGTTAACTCCAGGCGGTGTGTGCTTCATGATTGCTGGTGCTATAATGGGAGTGGAGGATATAACGGGCACATTCTCCAAAGTCGGCATGTTTGTGGTCACGGTGACAGTCGGAATAGCTGTGGTCTTCATCCTGACATTGCTCCTCTATCTTGTTACAACTATGTCCAACCCCTTCACTTTCCTTCCTCGAACAATCAAAGCCTCGTTTATCAGCTTCGCTACAACATCTCCGTAAGCTTTATTATCACATCCGTTATTAGTTACTTTGTTGTATGCACTACTAATAGTTTACAAGGTTAAAACGGACTACATTAAGCAACACCATATGGTTGCAATTTTAGCATTGTTTCTCTACCGGAAATGTTTCAAGGATGTGATGAATTTGGCATTCGGCTCAAGATCTCACGATTCTTCTGTCCCATCGCCACCACTATGAAGTCGGACGGTCCGGCGGTATTCATCTCCTCTGCCTGTGTGTTTGTGGCACAGATGGAACTCACAACTGTGCCCCCCACTACCATAGTTGTTATTTGGTGCGTTTGCCTTTTCTGCCCTCAGGTTTCCTAGCTGTAGCCTCTTGGATTAACCTAGATCCTGTGTTTGTGTTAAAGGTGGGTGTTTTGATTGCTTTTAAAATTTGGCTAAGACTTCATGGCGCTTTATGTCACATTTACAGGCTGTTAACTTCGGTGTCAGTAATGGCTATTCCGCATATCCCAAGTGCCAGTATTCTCATTGCAATGACTATTCTGAGTTCAGCAGGCGTTCCAACAAGGAGTACTGTCTACCTCTACGCTATTGACTGGCTTCTGTAAGTCAATCTCCTGCTTGCATCTGCGGTGCTACTTGTTGTCCCTAAATGTCTCCCATTTATTCCTCCAGTGACCGCTTCCGTGCGGGAATTGCTACAACAGTCACCATGTATGGTGCAGCCATTTTGCATGCGTATGACCAAAGAAAATCAGCAAAGGAAGATCACGATTGCATAGATGAGATTGACCAACCTTCTGCGCAGGGGTTCCAAAATTAGCGTCTCGGGGATAAATAGACTTCGTCTAAATTCCAATGCATTTAATTTTGCTAGGTAGGCTACACTTGCACAAGTCATCTTAATATCATTATGGAATAAAAACTTGCTTCCAAGCCACTTTTGCACCACAGCTAATGCAACTGGCTGTTGTAGGATAGTTATTAGTAATACGGCAAGGAGATTTTCCATCTGCGCCTTCATCCAACGTTTCCAGTTGAGATGAGACGATGAAATGATTGGCATAGAAATGGTAAAAGTAGGTTAAATTGAGCCTCCTGACCTTGGAACAAGTGTACAAGCACTTCGGCGCTCAAAGTAATGTGTTAAGAAAGAATGACGTGGTTTACAGTTGGGACGGGGGTGTTAGAATTTGCTCCCTTTAGGGAGCAACTTCGGCGTGCCACCTCTACCGTATGATGATGTCAGAGTGTGGATGGGATAAGGAAAGCACCCAAATGCAAGACTGCACTTGGTCCAAATGTCTTGTCTTCGAATACGCGATAACAACGCGTGGGTAGACCGAAAACTTACCATCACGTGGTGGAGTCAGACAGCATTGGCAACAAAGTTGGATTCACTGATCATACCAGACGAATAGTGATGGCAAGGGAGCAGAAAACAAGCCTACATGACTTTTTGGACCCTGCTCAAGCGATCAAATCGTGTTTGTTTGAAAAAAAGTATGAATATAACATCTCACCTAATTTTGTGCACATTTTTGAATGCCATGGATCATTCGACAGTTTACGTGGTCGCAGTCAGAAATAAAAGTATTCCATTATTGACTGGCTTCATACTTCTTTTCTTGCACTTTGGTTGATTAGGTCCTCTGATGAGGAGCTAAAACGTTTGAAAACTGTATGCTTGAGAATAGTCGAATAGCCAGCTTCTTCAAGGCCTCCATTTTATAGACTAAAACGCTTACAGATTCCTTTAAACAGCTTTTATACTTTTTATTGTTTCGGCCAGGGATCGTTTTCGGGCGGGTTTGAACACCTTAACAACCATGTATGGCGCAGCGATGGTAAACAGTAGAAACTTCTCTAAGGGCGACGAACCTCTTCCTCTTTCCGAAGTTGAAAACACTACGGAAGCTTAAGCGTTTTCAGTGAACCATTCCTCGCTGACTCTACAACCTTCTTTCTCGTCCCGATCTAGTGATCCTCTTACTGTTTTTCTTCTTCTTATGATGTATGGCCCTCACATCG